TCATTTTATTGTACATAAATATAGCCTTTAGTTTTCTCGTTTGAATTGTATTACATTTGTCATTTCGCGGCATTTTATAGCTGACTATGCGGTATGGGCTTTGCTCATTGTTGAAGGCCGTACGGTGACCTATTGTTGTTAATTTCTGTGTCGTTTGGTCTCTTGTGGAGGGTTGACTCATTGGCGATCATACCACATCATTTTTTTTAGATTCAATGTTGTAGAGTGTCCTTTGTTTGATATGCACCAAGATGAGCGACACAGGCTTTTTAAATACTACGGAGCTCACCACAAAATATATTATTAACTGTAAAAACAAAAGTAGAATGAAATGAAGTTGAAAAGATTGTGAGTCCCCTGCATTATGTCCTAAAGACCGTTTTATAAAGGATCCACTTACTTTTATTTAACACTGAACAGTTGTGGTAGAACGTTTTCCGAATTTGCATTGAATTAAAAAAGGTTAATTTTGATTTACGTAGTAATATGTTTTTGTAGTTTATTGGGAATATAAGATATTGTTCTTCACTTAATTACAGTTATAGACTATAAAAAGTCATTTTTTTAGAGTGAGGAATAACTTTTTTCTTAATCAAATTTTCTTTTATAAAACCCGGACCATTTGTTTAAAAACCCGGACTGTTACAATATTGCTCTCGGTAAAACCCGGACAATATTAAACACTGAATTGTTTGGTAAAATACACGGAAATTGTGCTTCTTTCTTGCTCAAAGCATATATAGTATTCAAAATAAGGTGGGTAGTCAGGTAAAAAAACTATCAGAATTACGAAATAGCAGTTAATTGACCTCATCTCATGTTTTATCACTCGAAAAAGCCCGATATTTACTCGGGAAAAAAAGGACCGCTTTTCTCGATAAAACACGATCAAAGCCGGACACTATATCTACCGTGAGTATGTTTGCATGGAGTAATGATGCTAGTACCTGATGTATGTCCATTGTATTATGTTAAACAGCCCATATTTCTTTAACAAAAATAGTTTTCTTTCCAATAAATAAGTAATATTTTACAATTTAACAACTTTGTAACAACGCTATATTTTTTGGCCAAAATAGGGTCTTACCGGGCCTATTCCTTTGTAATATATTTATAGGGCTTATTAATTTTCAATATCTGTTACATTTTAAGTATAAGTAATTCTGAAATGTATAGGGTCAATGATCAATACTTTAATTTTAGCTTTTGACCAGGAAGTTGATAAAATTATCCTATTTATACTCATGATAGTAGTTCTCTCTTAAATATCGGCCATAACCCTTTAAAAAAAATTCTTCAAGAACACATGGAGGAGACTACTAATACGACAAAGTAATTGAAGCTGTCTAATAAAGGCAACAAATAATCTGACCCTCAATTATGATCAAATTGCATTGAAGTAAAATGGGAAATAATTGGATCCCCGTTCCTGTCCATGGTAGAGTTCACATAAAGAAATTAAGCAACAAAAGTCTTTAATATGTGTTTTTTTTTATAGACATTAATAAATTAATGGAGATTTAGAAAGATTATTTTTGTATTGATGATGTTGGTGTCATAAGCTTCATTATGTTGGCTGCAATTGTGTTTTATATAACAGACACTGTTAGAAAGTTTTATTACATTATTCATAACTGATCAATACTGTGGGAAGCTTGATATACCATGATAAACAGTCCTAGTTATGAACTTAAAAGTCATAGTTTGTCTGTAATGTATTTTTTGATATGCGGCAGTCGATGACAAATCAGCTCAATTTTGATAATTTTGGTCAAAATAGTCAAAATTAAGAGAGAAGGTTCCATTTTCAAAATATGAAAATAAGTTTTTTTTGGTTGCTGTGATTCTTTCATTCATACAATATCAAATTTTGCACCAAAAAAATGGCAGATCATACATATCATACTTATCAACTTCCTGTTTATATCTCTGTTTTAATTGATATCCATTTGACGTGGCTCGGTACTTATACATCCCGTCATTGTGTTAATTTTCTATGATAATTCTTTTCTTCTTGTCTTTCATATTTGCTAATGTGCTTTGTCTATATGCTTTTTTATGTTTGTTTGATACATATATGACGTAGCTTCGTATCTATACTAAGTACATCATTGTGTTATTGTACTATGGTTAAGGAGTAGGTCCGGTATGGGCCAATTTTGGCCTCAAATTTCAGGTTCATCTGACGAAAGATTTTGGACACTTTTTAAACACTTAAGTGTCTATTTTGGTTGACTCTATTAGTTTATGTGAAAGATTTTAACTGATTTACTTATTAAAAACACTCCGATTCAAGCTTAAATGTGAAAAATCTATCAAATATGCCAAAAAATGTCACTTTTCAGATGGTTTTTGCCAAAAATGAAAATGGCCGCATCCGTTTTCATCCTCAACCTTTATATATGTTATGTGTTATCATGAATTACAACTTACATTTCAATATTAAGAATGAACACAAATGCGGCCACTTTCATTTAAGACGGAAACCGTCTAAAATTTAACTAAAATGCTAAAATTGTGAAGATTTCAGTAACTTAGCATGACTTAATGATGCTAGTTGCCGATATATGTGCATTGTATTGTCAAAAACAGCCCATATTTATGTAGCAGAAGCATTCTACTTTCCAATAAATAACTAAAAGTTTTCATTTTAACAATTTTGTAAAACTGCTTTATTTTGGGGCCAAAAAGGGGTCTTACTGGACTTACTCCATTGTGTATTCTCGTCTTTAATTTTTGCTTCTATTCTTGAAATGAATAATGTGGATGATATTCTGTGTAAAGCGTCCAAATTTTATTTTCGATTTTAACATGGAAGTTTATAAAATTGCTCTATTCATATTTAAGATAGACATATAATAATATAGTATATCTTTCTAAAAATCCGGTCATGATCCTTCAAGAATTCTCAAACGAAAACATTGAAACGGCTTAGAAATTAGAGTTATTAAAATTTTGAAGTCCAATAAAAAATCTGCCTCTCTCTTATGATAAAATTGCATTGAAGTAATTGAAGTCATAAGTGGACTCTTAAATGAAGTTATGGCCCTTGAATGTTGATTTTTCACAACATGAAACGTTTTCCATATTCTTAAACACTATATATAGAAAGATTAACCCGAATAATTCAGTCCCTACCCGTACTTCATCTATCCTACTTACGACGGCCTGAACTCATAACTTGATAAAAAATCTTCACGAACTCCGGCTTTTGATAGGTGTAAAAGAGGTTAAAATTAAGCAACAAGCTAATTCTAATTGACTGTCTGAAAAAAACATTTCAGTTCAAAAGTTGTACTGATTACGTCATTTTAAGTTTAAATCATGTGGTATTCAATGAACAACTGTCATATTCCTAACTTAGTACGTAGAGAATAGTGGAATATTGTTCAAAATTTCATAAAAAGGTCAAACAGATTTCTTATGCCTTGATAGAGCGTTATTGTTACTGGCACGGAACATCATCGTCATCATCAACACACACGTCATCATCACAGAATTATATGACTTTTCAAACTTTCTTTTTCGCTTTTTATTTCTCTCTCTCTCTCCTCTTTTTACCTATGAAAGCTAGTATTATATTCTATAAACTGTTTGCTTTATATGCATGTCCATTATATTATACTATTATTGTAATCTTATATTGTATTATGGAGAAGACTTCATAAGTATGATTTACTTGTGTCTAATCCACTTTGCTTTAATTCAGCAAATAAAATATGTTTAAACTAGTGGATTAAACCTGATGTTTTAGCTTGCTTAACCTCTTTCTTGTATGACAGTCGCATAACATTCCATTATAGCGACAACGATTCGCGAACAACACAAGCAGACGAAACAGGCACAAATGTAAAAAAGTAGGGGTAAACATTGTGTTATTATCTGAATCACTATAAAAACAAACAAATATAAAACAAAGAAACACACAAAGGCTTATATTATTTATTCGATATAATATATTTGTTGACTCTATAACTGTATACCTTAAAATAAAATTATGTTTATTTACCTGTGTACGTTGTTTTATTTTGCGGCACATTGTCCAAGGTTATGGTTGTCTTTCTGAAATTGTTTAACATCTCATCCCTTATTTCATTAATTTTGTATTTACATGGTGTCATATGTAAAATTTATTCGTTCAGTGTATGTGCACTTGTTTTTTTTGTTTGTTATGTATTTTGATAGATTTAAGACATTTCAATTGATTTTGTTATAGTGTGGCGTTCTATGTTGTGGTTTTACACTATTTATCCAGGTAGGGGCGAAGGTTGGTACCTATCAAAACGTTTAAACCCGATGCATTTGTTTGCACCTGTTCTAGGTCAGTTGCCTGACGTTCAGCGGTTGTCGTTTGTTGATGTGGTTCATAAGTTTTTCTCGTTTCTATATGGATAAGACCGTAAGTATTCCTGATTGAATGGTTTAACAATAGTCATTTTGGGCCCTTTATTGCTTGCTGTTCGTTGTTAGCCAATACTCCGTGTTGAATACGGTACTTTGACCTATAATGGTTTACTTTTACAAATTGTGACTTGGATGGAGAGTTGTATCCTTGGCACTCATACCACATCTTATCTCCAAAGCTAATTAGCAAAAATTAAAGACTTGGAAACAAATAATTACCATAACACAATTACACAATGACGGGATGTATAAGTACAGGATAAAATGGATATCACCAAAAAATAGACTAAACAGTACAAAGGTAATATTCACAAAGATAATTAAAAAAAATACTATAACACGTTATTAAGATGATAAACAACACCAGTATCCAGAATCTTTACTTCAAGACCATTCTTTATTATTTTTGAAGTTGAAACATGGAATATTTATCAACAAGGTCTTGGTACCTTCTGATGAACAAAGCGTAACATATTTGGCTAAGTTTCGAGTACAATGTATTATTTATTGATATCGAAATTAAATTATTATCTGCTTAATAAAAAAAATATATATATCACAAACAACTGATTTGAATATATTTTCTTTTCTTTCAGAACTCAGATACGAATCTCGAGTAAGGGACCTCCACGTGGTGAGATTTGGAAACGGCTTAACATCACGCTGGCTAACTCCTTACACACCAGTAAGTATTGAATATCCTTGAGGTTATGTTTGTTTATTGGGGTAATGAAGCATTGCATTTCACACCTAAACTTCGTACTATGGATGACTTACTGACGCAAACTGAGATTTCCTAGCAACGTAGATTGGGGTTATTTGGTTAAAGTTATGATCTCATATAAATTCGACGAACCTTTGTTGCTGTTTCAGGCATTTAACAGTTGAACGGTATATGGGTTGAATACAAAATAAAAGACGTTTGTAGGCTTTATGAACAATTTAAAAAGATTTCAATTTCGGTATAGAAAGATTATCTTCAATTGAATATTGGAACCTTTATAAAACAAAATCAGTTATGAATTTAAAATTGAGGCGGTCATGAGTAACAGATAGGTTAATCATCACTTGTGCTCCTGTCGTCTTTAAAAGAAAATCGACGTTTCAAATGTAATGCATTAGAATAAGCAACTAGTATACAGTGTCATTTCATGTTACCAAACTGTACTGTTTCTTTCGAGGTTAAACCAAATGATTATAATCATGATAATAATATCCACTTAAACATGTAAAACTTACGCAATCATTTAATTTGCTTAATCTTAACTGTTACAATGTATATTGTGAAAATATCAAGAAACTCCAAGGTAGCGAGAAAAACGAAATTCAAAAGTGCAACTAAAGCAGACAATCTCATGATCATTAACATGATAAAGGAAACCGCTAAAAAAGACAAACAAAAATGAACAAACATAACATAACACAAAAAACCACAAATATATCAATGCAAATCTATCTTTAAACCATAAGTGAAAACAGTTGTTCCGGAAGAGTAAGTGGAACACTTCATGTAACTTATTGCATGTATAATAAATTTGAGATTAGTCTCATCAGATTATGTCAAGGGAAGGGGATTGGATGCCCTTTATAAATCTCGTGTGGCTAACATTATTTTTTGAAGTTACCTTTATCAGGATCACTGTAACTCAAGCAGTTGTAATTCCGTGATGTAAAAATACATATATAGCAGCTTAAGAGAGCACTAAAAAGATACAATAAATTCATGTAACTTCAAAAATTGCATTGGGTAGTTGAAACCTCACTTTCTCAGTAACTTTTCTATGTATCGATTGATATATGGAAAGAAATGTTATGTATGTCAGTGCCAAAGAACAGACTACTGAGGTGCGAATGGGACTAACAGTACAACAACTGTGGTATCAACCCGGTGATAGTAAATGAAAACAAAACTTAATATATTAAATAAATTGAATTATTTAGGGTCGCTAGTTAATGTTAGCTATTTGACATCCTGTTTACATTTGCTTGATGTTAAATGGATATAATTTTCGAACAGACGATAGACTTTAATTTCAGACGCCAAGTGATAACATAAGCTTGTATTTAACCTTCGAGAGTTATAAGCTAATAATAATTGTCCTCATTGCCCATATATTTATAACAAACAAGTGTATTATTGTGCTGAATACAATATATTTATCTAGGTTATTGAGAAAGTGATATCTAGACGACAGGTGATATATCTGCTCTCAACTACTTATTTTGTACGAAGTAATGTAAGAAAATAAATGTGTATGTAACATACTGACCTCAGAAAAAGTATTAACTAAGTTGGAGTAAGGCTGTCGCGTAAAACATATTTTAAAAGAGCGTTAGTAATCGTAAAATCGAGCATAAAAACAATTTTAAATGTATTTTTATAATTTAACAATTAGATCCGATATTATATATGAACTGTTATTTTCTCTGTAGCTATGTACTAGTATATGAGAATAAAATCATTCAAATAAACTGGTTTGATCTGAAATTGGGGTTCATAATTTGGTTAACTGGTAAGGCACACTGAAAGTTATTTTTTTCATGAATGTACCTTGGTTAATAAACATTTTCAGATATGTTTCTCCTTATCAACTTATATATTGCCGTGTGTCTATGTGAATGTATGGCCGCAACAGAAACATCAAGTAAGTCAGAACAGAAACATAGCTTAAAAAGAGTATGTGTAATGGTAATGCTCTGTCTTGTTGGGTCAAATGCATTGTATAAATTTGATGCAGAGCAATAGTTTCATATGATAAATTGACATGAAAACAGCAGTTTTCTATCATTTACATCATGGTAGAAACAAAAAAAAAACTTTATTTATTCAATTTAATCAATGAAGAATCGGAATGGGATAACAAAATTATTGTTCACGAGGAGTTGCATCTTGATGTTATACATAGTCTATTACTAAATTAATATTCACAAGTTGTGAAATATAAACACCGTATAGTAAGATTGTGCCAAAGGAACATCACCATCCAAAAAGAGAAAATTAACAATAGGGAACAAAAAAGCGTCCCTTTTACAATGATACACATTAATCAAATTGCAAAATTTAAAAAGAAAACAAATCACATAAGAGCACACAAACCTGAAAGTAAGGGATCCGTTAATACGCTAAAACATAAGAAGCTAGATGACCAAAAGGCATCTAAATAGAAATGCAAAATTCATCTGGAGTGAAATTTGGCAAATGATATTGGGACCTAATTGTCTTAGTTATATCTTTATTTATTACATGTAACGGGGACTTTTTTTAAAACTAAATGAAATTTAAAATTGTCCAAAAATGAAATGGGCGTTGAACTAGTCTGAGGTGATCATCTACCCGACGTCCAGACCCTCCCCCTGTTTATGTGTAAACCCCCTACCCAATGTTTTTTTTAATTTTTCAACCGAAATGAATAGGGTCTTTTTGCATAATGTTCCTCACTTTCATCTCATTGAAGAAATAGAATTGCATGCATAAACGTCCAAATCCTTACTGTGTCCACACTCTTTGTTTCAACACTTGCCAAACTGTACCGCGATTTCGCAGACATCTTCTGGTATTGTCTAATGTTAACCCTAGGGGAAAAGATAGCCTCCTGAGATGTAGCCTCCCAATATGAGTTGATTTCTATTACGTTATTTTTAGGGTTTTGAGACTATTATTGATAAATGTACAGATGTTTATAATTTTTTTGTGTGCGTATGCGTCTGTGTGTGTCGATTTTATATTTGTATTGCAAAAAATGAGCACGAGATTGTCCAATATGTTTTCCTTCTGTGTGATAGTATCCCTTACATATTTTTTTTAAATATCTATTTCTTGGTACCACACTAGTAATAATTACACAATAGTGTATACTATGGTGGTGGTGGCTGTGGTGAAGTTGGTGGTGGTGGATACACATGATTGCACGGTGGATATGGTGCTTTGATGTTGGTTTTTTGTTCCTGTAATGTCTTTTTTTATTCGAAATTTCTATACCATTCTGGACATTTTGTATTGATCTTGTAGAGCTCTTTAAACAGGTCCGTCTTCGCTATACTAAGTGTTTATTGAAATTTCGTCAACTAAAAGATATTTTATATTCCTCAATGACCGTAAGTAGTACTTACACCTTCGTCTAAAATATGGATAGAGACCAAGTTTGTTAGTAGTGTTATACAACTGATGGTTACACTATCTTATATATTTCATCGTTGACATATGCAATGTCTTTTCAATCAAACAATGCGTTTAGTGTTCATGTTTAGTGTGGTGTTTAACAACACTCTTTTTGATCCTCTTTGCTGTCTTCTTTCCTTTTATTAGTCCGTTTTCTTCGTAGATTAGGAAATATATCTTTTATTTAAGACCGACGAATTCTTTAATAGAAATTCCGTTGGTATCGTCTTTCATTTTACCAACTACTTTCTGATTATTGATACTAAATATTAGGTTTCCATAATCATATTCCTATGTATCAAACAGGTGTTGGTCTTGTAACATGTCTGCATAAATGTCTTCTGTGTAAACGTTATTAAATAAGCTGTCCATATCTGTAAACAACAGTTGTGCTTTGCATCCGTATTTGTGTTTCATATAATTAAAATGAACGACGTGAATCAGCGATATGTCGAGTATGCTAAATCCAACATAGATCGGGCTGTTTAAGTATAGCTTCTGTTTAAACAAATGCACGGCTGCCAAATCCTCATCAAATATTTTGAAGGCATAAAATGCACGTTTGTGGTTGAGTTTCTGGCTTTTGAATGGTTGTTTACAAATTGAATATCGATGCTTTTCTCCAAATTTTCCATATTTTTACCGAAGACGGTGGTATCTATAGGTTTTAAAACAGCTTTCCCAAATTTGTTGACAGCAAGTTTTCTATTTTCTGTGTTAAAATCGATGTAGGTTTTCAACCATGGTCGTTGTTGAAATACTGTTTGTAATCCTTTGAATTCTATATCATCTTCATTCTTGGACTTATACATTGCTTCAGGTTTCTAAAAGAGGGGCAAAAGATACCAGAGGAACATTCAAACTCATAGATCGAAAATAAACTGACAACGCCATGGCTAAAAAAGAATTGAATACGTATTTGCTCTTTGATGGAAGATTTGCATTTCCTTGCATTTCAAGATCTTGCAGCAGTTATTTTGCATATAGTGATAGCATATCTTCTGTTATCTTCATTCTTTTAGGAGCCAGAGGATACTAGTCATTATGAAGATCGTTTAATTTCTTCGGGTAATCCAAATCGACTTCTTAAATGTAGTCATTCTTATTGTTATCATCAATCGAAACTCTATTGACGATATATTCATCTCGTCGTTGTCTAACCACCGAAAACCAGACACTAGCAGTGACTGAGACTGTACTTGACTCGTCCGTGGAGGTAATTGGCGTCCAAATAAGTTATGTGAATGATCATGATCAGTGTCGTATATAACTGTTGTTTGCTTTAGCATGTCGGAGTGTTATCATTGATATCTTCCTGAAATTTTCAAAGACGTCAGCTAATGCAATAACATCAGTGAGAACATATAGGCTATGATATTATCCCAGGTTTTATTATTCCAACTCCATCAGCACGTTTTCTGCATGTTCATAATCTTCATCATTTATTTTTTAAATCGATTGGGAGCTATGAAAGGCCTCTTTTGATGAAAGTTGTGTCTCAACAAATCCTACTACTGAATCTTCTTTGGCAAGATTATCCACAAGTTTTTCTAAAGACAAAGAAATGAATAGAAACAATTCAATAAAGTCCATGTATCTAAATGAAAAAGAAATATATTTCCCAATATTGTTGAAATACATTTCAGTTGTTCCCCTTGAATTTTACCAATGGCTTGCATGATCAGGTGACTATCATATCCTCTTAAGTTATTAAACGCAACCGAAATCCGATCGGTCAAGTTAAACTTGATTTTACATTCGTTATAAACCGCCCCTCTTGATGTTCGTGTCACGTGACAATGATCTCTAACTTTTTCTTCTCCAAGATCTCTGTGACATACATGTATATGCCATTTTACGGCGTGTTTAAAATTTTGTGAATATCTCCCAGTCATCTTTATTGTTTACAATGTTTGAATTTCTGCTGTATTTTTTCTTGTCCTTCAACCATGCGTTCCACAAATGTTCTTGGTGGTGTTTGACTGGATATAAAGCAGCCTAAATTGACCACATGAAACATTTGTTGTCCTATCATAGCATGCTAGGTTCTCAGTTTGAATGGGAGTGGAAAATAGGTAGATACATGTACGGGTCTATAACGGGCCATATATTAATATATATATATATAAATGGTCATGTCTGCTACTTTATCTACAGTACAGTTGCTTCCTTGTCTTTAGTACTCAATAAATGACGTGACCATTCTTTTGATAAACCTTGTTTAGCCTTTGTTTATAGCTAAAATTTCCACCAAGAAAGTTAGGAGTCTACATGTATGTTGAATGAAAAGTGTCAAGATAATACATTTACCTTATTCATTTATAAATTAAAATAGCAAAATTGCCGTAGAAAACCCTTTATTATTCATCACATAACTTTACTCCGAAATACCATTTTTACGAAAACTCGACAGTTAAAGTTTATATTACAAATGTATGCACTTAGGTTTTATACATTAACGGATATATGTCAATGCAATCAATATTCCTATATTATATCATTTTAGATTGGATTTTAATTCTTACCGGGTCATAGCTGTTTTTTTTACAATTAATATTATTTCATCTAAGTGTGTCATAAAGACATTTAACCAAAACTAGTGGCATTTAACGACATTTACTTTGTTGGTCCCTACGCCAATTTGCCAGTAAACACATATCAAACAACTTGATCCTAAAGTGTTGACGTCAAATCCTTGCAATAATCATCATGGAGATAACCCGAATTATAATCATGATATTGCTGCACGATCAAATGACATGAACTTGTTCAATTAAAACGGGTTTCTCTTAACTCTATCAGTATGATACATATAAAATAATCTTCTGTTCATTGAGGCAATTAAATATGTATGTGAATCTACGGCAGCTTAAAAATATTTGAAATTGCACAACATATAGTCAGGCTTACTGTGGTAATCAAAACCTAACATGCAAGAATGAATGCAGAAATATTAGTGTATCTTATTCAATACAACGATGACGCATTCTAAATATTCAGGTTTTGCTCAGCCTAGATTTTTTGCGTTCAGTTCTTAGATAAAAAGCTGTCGTCCTTATCGGTTATATACAGGAACTGTATTTGTTATTGTGTATCCATTTTATTTTGTTATTTTAATTGTATATTTTTTTGGTGGGGAGGGGGTGTGTTGAGGGGGAAATCGTTGATGTACTTTAACAGATTTAAGACTAAATTTTTCTTTCATTTTCATCGCTAATATTTATGGTTTCTAGACTCTGCAAACTCATAGAAGTCTGCAGTTGATTGAATAACGGTTTTTTGGTTTACGTCTTATACATGTAGAAATGAGCCTTGGTAATGCATTACACTTTCTGCAATTTACATGGAATGTTTGCAGTTAATAATAATTCTTTATCTTTTACATACCATATTCTAAGCTTTTAAAGGCCTCGACATGAAAAATCATGAAACAATACAAACGTAAAACCCTACTGTAAAAAACAACCTCATAGCTTGTCAATGGTTAGTATAAAAACTATTTACATTTTACATAAACAATTATAGATTACCTTAGCTGTACTTGGCAAAACTTTTAGGAATTTTGGTCCTCAATGCTCTACAACTTCGTACTTTATTTGGCCTTTTTAACTTTTTTGGATTCGAGCGTCACTGATGAGTCTTTTGTAGACGAAACGCGCGTCTCGCGTAAATACAAAATTTAATCCTGGTATCTATGATGAGTTTATTTACTTCAAACGAATAAATAAAACAGTCGTCCCATAACAATAAGCAAAGTCCATGCCGCATAGTCAGCTATAAAAGACCCCGAAATGAGAAATGTTAAACACTTCAAACGAGAAAATGAACGACCTAAATTATGTACAAAATAATGAGCAAAAAACATATGTTACAAAGCAACATTGTGTTACATTTGCTGTCTTACTTATAAACCAATCAAAATAAACAAAGACGTCATCATATTCAATATATGCAAATGTAATTACAAACCAAACTTTTGACAGGTGGTCAACACAATTCTGATGATCATTTAATTATAGCTCCCTGACATAAGCATTGATTAGAAATAAATTTTCTAAACAATATAATATTAAAAACAGTTAAAAAGTATTATATGGTATATCAGATTTCTTAATCTACATATTATATATATTATATTGATCATCATCTTACTTGTTGTAGTAAAATGGGATGTAAAAACCAAATCTGTCACCTACGGCGAAGATACGACTCTCACCTGCAATGCAAATACATGTTTACCTTACTCAAGTAAGCAGTGGTTTGGAGGTCCAAACTACGATTTGTTGTGCTCAGACGATTACACAGCAAATCCATATAAATATGAAATGGTGGTGGAATCTACCAGTCCTAACTTTGATCTCATGATAAAAAACTTCACATTTAGTGACGCAGATTGTAAATATACCTGCGTTTGTGGGTTGCTACACTTTACAAAAATGCTGACATTGAATAGTTTAGATTTCATTTGTAAGTGTAATTTTACTGTATATTAGTTATGTGTCAAAAAGATCTAGAAAAAAGTAAAAAAAAGAAAATCCAGTCTATAATACATAAAACTTGCCCAACACTACACCCACCAACAACAAGGTTGAACTCTAAAGGTACACTACACAGACGACCTATTTTCGATTTATCCACACGGTCGTCTGTAAATTTTTTAGAACCGATTGCATAGGGAACAAAGGGTAAGAAGAATTAAAAAAAAAATAATTAGACATATCTCTTCTATAGACTTTTTACTTTCATTAAGTCATTTAGTATGTATAATCAAAATACATTTTGTCGTAAATGTCATCGTAAAAATCATATAATCGAACTGCAATCGTTTAAAACTATTTGAAAGGGACACCTGTTTTACCTGTGAATTTTTGTGTTTCTTTGGTACATATGACGTGGCTCTGTACTTTTAAAGATCCCGCCATTATGTTTATTATAATGCATTATGTTATTGTTCTATTATAATTTTGAAAATACTTTGAACGACAAAATTATTTACTCGCTTAGTGGTATTAACCATATGTGGATTCTTAAAAATTCTCAAGAACTTCTGGATAATTTTAAATCGGTCTTTTACTGAAATTATTTCTAACAAAACTTTTGATTTTTTAACCCTGTATACCACCATTCCCCATGTGAAATTATAATTTTGAAAATACTTTGAATGACAAAATTATTTTATATTGACGTTTACATTCTGACGCCAAACACAAGACTCTTAGCAATGAACATGGTTGTTAAATTTGATAGATGCCTTTTGTGCTTCTTTGTTAAATATTTGTTTGTTTTTGTTCTAATTGAGATTGTGACACAGTGATGACTGTTGTACCCCTATTTTGACAATTTCACCTATTATGTCTGTTTTGTTCCCGCATCGTTGTAAATATATTGGAATTTGATGCGACTGTCATACAAGTTGGAGGTTTAGCGCTATAAAACCAGGTTGAATCCACCATTTTCTACATAAGAAAATGCCTGTACCAAGTCAGGAATATGACAGTTGTTATCTATTCGTTTGATGTGTTTGAGCTTTTGATTTTGCCATTTGATTAGCACTTATATCTAGAAATTGACTATGAGGGTCGGTTGAAAACAAAACTTTACGACAAAAGAGATGATTTCAGATTCCCAATTGTGACCTTTTCATTTTCAAACCAAGAGTTCCAAATGGTGAAGTTGAAATCATCACTTCGTAAATTTTACGGACGCCGTCACGAGTTGGATGACCGTTATGGAATATCCGTTGTACAGATGATATCGGATATGTTCCTTTAATATGTCATAACTACAATAGCGTTCCCTTTTCACGAATATGACCTGCCGAATAAGACTATTTACCGGCTTTGTAATAACATGAGCAGCACGACGGGTGCCACATGTGGAGCAGGATATACTTACCCTTCTGGAGCACCTGAAATCACCCCCAGTTTTTGGTTGGGTTCGTGTTGTTGTTGTACATATAAAAACAGAAGATGTGGTATGATTGCTAATGAGACAACTCTCCACAAGAGACAAAAATGATACAGAAATTAACAACTATTTGTGACACTTTGTTCACGCATCGATGTCAATATAATGGAATTTGATGCGACTGTCGTACAAGTGAAATGTTTAGCGCTATAAAACCAGGTTCAATCTACCATTTTCTACAATTGAAAATGCCTGTAGTAAGTCAGGAATATGACAGTTGTTGTCCATTCGTTTGATGTGTTTTATCATTTGATTCTGTTTTTTGATTAAATTTTCCTCGGAGTTCAGTATTTTTGTGATTTTACTTTTTAATGAAGGTTATTTGTAGAGTTTATGATGTTGAAGTCTGAATTCATTTTAGCCCTACTCCTAAACAGGAAAAAACATAGAGTTAAAAAAATGTTACATTCTCTTTTGCAGATGAAATAGATTTCCAAATGCGAAAAAAAGTTGCTTGTACATGTTATGTTTTACACGTCCTTCAGGTTTAAAGAGGATTTGTCTTACTACCCCATTTTACGTTCATGTATGCAGTCTTTATTTGACCATGTTGAAGAGACGTTTTTCTATGACAATTGAACGTTTTATTCTTTTCATTAACGTTTTGTGTTATAAAATGTTTCAGATCCGCCAGTCTTAAAAGAAAATTCTCAGGAGGCAATAGCAAACAAATTTCAGATTGACCTGTTGATGAAAGTATATCCTTTACCAAATTGCAACATTATATATCAGGTACTTAATAAGGAATGCTTGAAGCTTACTTTTTTTCTTGAGTTGTTTAGAACTATATTAAAGGAATCACTAGTGTGCGTGTGTTTGTCGAGCGTTTCTGTCTAATGGACTTCTTTGGAGTTATGTCCTATCTTGCAATCGGCCACTTAACTATAATATAGTTTGTACTATACAAATAAAACAGTACAAATAAATGAGTTGACTATTCATTTAGTTGACAATCCTTGTTTCCAGCTTCATTGCTTTTATTTGGAGAAAATTGTATAGTCAGATTCTTTGTGACGCATGTCTTCTTTGTGTCATTGTCCCAGTTTGAATTAGATCAATGCCAATTTCAATGTTCATATAAAGACAATGACTGAGAGTAATATATATAAATACATAAAGCGTGCATACCTTTTTTTGGGGTAAGAATCTAATTAATTGAACAAGATACACGTGAAAAATTTCGTCAAGTCTAGATTTTCTTTCCTTTTTTAATTGTTATCGCAATATGCCGTATAATATTAATAGGATTTCAAAATAATAGTAAATGGCAAATGTGTAAACTAGATGATGCAGCTTAAAAATGGAATGTTTTATTGTATCGTTTAAGGAAATGAATATACCACTTAAAATAACAAACTACACCACAAAGACGTACAATCACACGGGCTGTTGTACATTGTATGACATTAGGATACAACAAATAGTAGATATAAATCACGTTAGCTGTAGTGGAAATATCAATTTGACTTGTAAAGTTGCAGATCGAAATTACACCCTTACTGAAAAGAACATTGATTCATGTACAAAAGGTATGGTTATTCAGATATCAATCATGTCAGTTCCCGGGGAGACAATCTACCTGGAATATAATTGTGTGTTATCGACATGATCTAAACGTGTCAATTGTGCATTTTTTGGCAGCTTTCTGTTTAAATATTATGAGATCTTAAACTAAAACTAAATTCAGCAAGTTAACACAATGTCATAGATACAGGAAGATGTGGTATGAGTGCCAATGAAACAACTCTCCATCCAAGTCACAATTTATAAAAGTAAACCATCATAGGTCAAGGTACGGTCTTCAACACGGAGCCTTGGCTCACACCGAACAGCCAGCTATAAAGGGCCCCAAAATATTACTAGAGTAAAACCATTCAAACGGGGAAACCAACGGTCTAATCTATATAAAAAACGAGAAACACTTATGAAACACATCAACAAACGACAACTACTGAACATCAGATTCCCGACTTAGGACAGGTGCAAACAATTGCAGCGGGATTAAACGTTTTAATGGTACTAAACCTTCTCCCTTATCTGAAACAATAGTGTAACATCACAACATATAAAGACTATAAAATATCAATAAACAAACGTAGTAAAACAAATGAACATACACTGACAAATAAATTTGATCTATAATACAATGTAAATACAAAGTTAATAAAAATAAGGGATGAATAATTAAAGTAATGTATTATACCGCTGTGAAATGCTAAACAATTTCAGAAAAACATCAACTTTGAAAAAAATACGTCATATTATACACAGGTAAATGAAAATAATTTTGTTGTTAAGTATACATCTTCTTATGTCTGTATAATCTTCCGTTTAGGAATACAAAGAAGTTTCTTGTATATCAATGAACTATTCTAAAACTTGGTACATGTGGGGTGTATGTCAACAAAAAAACTATAAAATTGGTGCTCGATAAAACTTCGTGTTCTTCATGTACAGGTGCTGGACGTGTGATGTATATACAGTTTAAAAGGAGAGAGGAAATAATTTTGATGTTCATAGTACGAAGAATTAAAAATTGATAGTAATAATGCCACAAAACCAGGTTCAACCCACCATTTTTTTCTTAAAATGTCCTGTACCAAGTCAGGAAAATGGCCATTGTTATATTATAGTTCGTTTCTGTGTGTGTTACATTTTAATGTTGTGTTTTTGTTGTGTCGTTGTTCTCCTCTTATATTTGATGCGTTTCCCTCACTTTTAGTTTGTAACCCGGATTTGTTTTTATCTCTATCGATTTATGAGTTTCAAACAGCGGTATACTACTGTTGCCTTTATTCTTCTTATGTTGTAATGTTACACTACTGTTTATGGTTAGGGTAAAGGTTGTGGCTTAGTAAAACGTTTAAACCTGCTAAGTTGTGTGCAATTGTCCCAAGTGAGGAGCGTGTTGTTATGTGGTTGTCGTTTGTTGGTGTGGTTCATAGATGTTTCTGGTTTCTCGTTTTTTATATAGATTAGAGCGTTGGTTTTCCTGTTTGATATAAAAAGAAGATGTGGTATGATTGCCAATGAGACATCCATTTGTTTGATGTGTTTGAACTTTTGATGTTGCCGTTAAATAAGGGACTTTCCTTTTTGAATTTTCCTCGGAGTGCAGTATTTTTGTAATTTTACTTTTTACATGCAATGCATTTTAATTGGTATTCTACTTGCCTTGAATTCCACTGGTGACATACCATAAGTAATTAGTTTACCTTTAGTCCTCAACATACTTAATTCCTTCATTTTGATTTATTTAATAACTACAAAAAAAAACTCAAAAGACTGCCGCCTTTCTTCATACAAAGTTGTATCAAGTTTTGATGAAACATGTGTAAATCATGTAAATTGCGTATGCTAAAGTCCTATCAGAAATGTGCGGCGTTTGCTTTTGTTCTTATTTATATAAACAAGATTTTTGTCACAAAAAAATCTGTATTAATTAATATTTTTACTCTCTTAAAGATTAAAGATATAATCATGACAATATATTGGTCACTTTTCAATGAATTTAAGGTATATGTTAAATTCTATTCAACAGCAAGCGTGTCTATTCCCAAAAATTGACAGGTGAAAAGGTAAAGTTAATAAAAAAAAAAATGGCTTACAACGATGGATTAACGTCTAAGACGTACATTTTAAGGCAAACGTATTTGAATTTTTGTCACTGGATGTTTTATTTGTCTGTTCGTTGTGGCTCTTGTTTAACTGCTATAAAATGATTTAGAAAAAAAATGGCTTCCATGATTTTTATTTCAAGTTTGCCATTTGAAACTGAAATTTTATGTTTGGTTCAGGGCACCACATTGCCTTTTGGAAACAAACAGTAACAAAAACCAACACTAAATAGTGTATTAAATATATACAGAAACAGTGACAACCATTTTGGAGATGAACGCAGTTATATACATAGACATTTTACTAGTGTCGAACATAGTCAATCAAGATATTTCATTCAAATTATGAACATTTGTTTATATTTTCAGTACCATTTTCTAATGTGAATAACCCTTACTGGTCAACGCCTGTAAAATTGATTGGAATAGTAGCTTTGATATTTCTATTCGTATTGGTGGTTATAATACTGTTGTGGATATACGGTAAGTATTTTAATTGAGCTGGCAGATTTTTGATATTATAAACACGAGGCGATTAGAAGCTTGACATTTGTTATAGAAACATGTCTATTGGAGAACAGACTGTTTATTGACTCTAGATAATATTGTTTTCTTTTTTCTAGTTTGTTTGATGTCTCATTGACATTTGTACAATACCTCACTGAATTCATAGATTTTGGTAAAAAATATAAAACTGTGTCAGTTTAATCGTATTTAATAAAAATAAAAGAAATGTTGCTTAAAAACCATGAAAAACAGCTTTTCAAAATAGATTTGTGTCCTTTTTATCTGGTCCGGTTTTAAAAAAACATGAAAATTTTAAAATGAATTGATCAACACTATAAGATAGAACTGTAATCAATACCAAGGGTTTAACAGAACAATGCAATAACATAAAAATAAAGCTTCAGACAAACACAGAAGTTCCTTACTTTGCTTATGATGTGCATATACACATGTTGCAGTTTTAAATAACATGTTATGAGCATTCAATCAACCTCCAATGGTGGTAAAATAAAGGAGAGTTCGATACATATCATTTCAAAACAAAATATTTCAATCGATATATAGGGTGAATGACCAGCGATCATAGGTTAAAAATATATATACAATACTCATGAACACCGTTTCAATTAATTCTTGTCGTTTTCTTATGCAAGCTCACTGTATTCAATTGCTTATGCTGAAAATTAACCTCATTCATAATTGACAAAAAGTTCACAAATCTATCTAAGGTCACTTTAGTGATAGAGTATATGTAAAATATTAAATAACATATTATAGTAATCACTGATTATTTTATTGCTGTTATTAATAATCAATAAAACATCGAAAAACTTATAAAACGTGTTTTGTTTCTCCATCTTTCAATGTTCTCTATTACTATTTTGAAACAACATTTTCAAAACGTAATATATTGTCATCACAGCTTAAAATTCATTGAAGAAATACACTTACTTAAATCCAGATGGGTGTAACTGTTGAAACTTGCATTATCTGATACATGAAAAAAGACTCTGGGCTATCTTTAATACCTTTATATGTTAATCTCGGGTTTCTTTTCAGCCACCTTTTAATTGTATTTTCTTTTTTCTCACACTAATTTTCATTTTATGTATTACACTACGCATATATTGTTTAGTACTTATAACTTTGTTTATTGTTGGTCCATTGTTAAATATGTATTTATTTTTTTAGTAAAAAGAAGACGCCGTCATGACCAGACGGAGATGAGTGTGTATTATAATTATAGACAGCCAATGATTTATAGATAACAATAAGGAGATATGGTACCATAGCCAATGGGACAACCACTCACCACTTGTTCAAATGAAGTGGATTTAAGCAATAATTGGACAACTATACGGCCTTCAACAATGAGAAAGAACCATACCGTATAGTTGGCTATAAAAGGCCCCGACATGAAAAATGGAAAAAAAACCAGAACAAAATTTGTTTAAGATTCTAAAAGAAAATGATATATTTGGCCTGGGTAAAATACAAGATAGAAAAAAGTAATCAACGTCTGAAAATTAACTTATTTAGACGGTTTGGGTTTTTTATGATTGTTGAAGATCCGTTCCACTTGGACTCTGTTGGATAGTTTTCTCAATTAAAATCCTACCATATCTCCTTATTGTCGTAGAGAGTAGGACAATGCCGATATAGACGATTTTTATTCTTATATTCGTTATTATAGGTTACGAAAAACACATGCACTTTCATTTTGTCCGCATACTATAACATTTACTCGGTTATAAGAACAGACAATTTATATGTTTGCACATGTGTGTTATCTTGTTTGTTTCTTTTTCATTAAAAACAAGTAAAGAAGTTTGCAACTCTAAATCTCCAGTTTTTAATCGAAACAAAACTCGATCTGGTTATATGATAAAACATGTACAAGTTTATCATAGAATTTATTTCAATGCTGTCCAATATCTTTCTGCAGGAGTTTTTTCTTCTTAAAAGTGGATAATTCCGAAATGGGCGTATTGAAATAAACATCTCATCAATGTATATATATATATGAATCAAACTTAACTTGATGTTTGGAATCCTTTATCTATAATGATCAATTGATTTTTTTAATATTTAATAAGCTATATGGTGAGGTTGTAAGTTAAGTTATAACTCCATCGTTCCATTCATTATTCACGACAGACAAAATTACATTTGCTAAATGCAAATACACAAACTATGTCCATCAGTAGAAGAAAAAAAATTGCACTAGAAATGCTATCTGACTTATATTAAATGCGAGAACCAAATTTCTCAAATAGGATCTGAATAACAATACACAGGATCGGTTCGCTGGATTCATTTAATACCATCTGTGTTTAACAATTCTGATTTATGATATTTAAGTATGATTTTTATAACATGTATAAGTTATTATTGGATTTGAACTATCTGCCAGTAACTTTAAGTATTATTGCATCTTTACCTAGTATGTTTTGTTGAAACATTTGTAACATAACTATCCAGTGGAGAGAAATCCGTTCTTTATCTTATGCTCATAGCATAAAAAAAACTCTATGGTTGCCTTGGATTTTCTTTTTAATGTGATTAATTGGCGTATATGATGGATTCCAAGTAATTATCAATACCTTACTTCCTAATCAGTTTTTTTTTAATATATATATTCAACAAAATGTTATATGAGGTTTTTAATTTTAGAATAACAATTCGTTAATAAAGGTAAATAAAAAAAAAATGATATTGTATGTTGCATTTGAAACTATTGTTATATCAATTGCCTAAATGTAGAAAATAGGATATGGTTAAATCATCAGATTAATTCACTTTTGATACAATAGTATAGCATTTCTTAGTTATGAAATATATCTATAATGTTGCATTAATTTATAAAACACATATCAATACCGTATTTTTTATAACATTTTTTTTTAATCAATTTAGAAATAAGGCATGCAATTTAAAAAATGTATAAAACTCATTTACACTGATCTACTTTACATGCACTTGTTGATTGAGATATTTTTCCACTGTCCTTTGCACTTTCACCAGGGAACATCTACACAAGGGTCGTTACGCTACTAAGGACTTCTTGCACCCAACAGCACATTCACCAGCACCCAACAACTTTCGTCATTTATTAAAAAGCTGCTGTCCATAATTCTGTCAGATTATTCTGACCACGGTTGTTAATCCGCCATACTTAGTGTATTAGGCGTAAAGTGCAGTCAATGGTCTCGTCGCCAACTATAAAGCAGAACCAGACATACATCAACTTATACGCAGGACAGCAGTTCTTGCACTAGGTGCAAATGCAGAAATAATTTTTTTTCATATGTTTGTGAGGTATGGGAAAATCTTTAATCCCTTTACATCTAAATTAATAAAATGGTTTGTTGAATTTAAACTAAACTTATGACGATGTCTTGCAAGAAAGTTGTCTTTGAAACTCTGTTAATTGTAATATTAGAGTACATTTGAAAGCAAGCAATATAGCTGAGTTTTTTTTATCTGATATCGGCAACGCATGGTGTCCAACTATAGATGTTATACTTCACATTTTGATTAAGGACCAATGATTAGAACACAGAAGCTTTACAATACTAAGTTCTTACTTATGAATACTTCTCGGATCTGTAAAACCCTAATTTTCTGTTTGTCTAAACTTTAGATATTTCAATATGGGGAATGGACTTCTCAAGATTATCTAAACTGAATGGCTTTAGAGCTGGTCATCGCCTTTTCAATGATGAATTGTATCATGTGAGCGCTCTTTTTGGTCTATGAGCATCTACGTTCTTATTGTCGATACCTGACATTGCAAGTAGGGTATGCTTAGCATGACAACGCATGTAATTCTGTTAAGCCGGTGAACAAGAAAATCCAAGATGTTAAATATGTTTTGTTGATTTCTAGACCAATATCATACCACAATCATATTATGCAACTATGTTTTAGATAAATGAGTATTCAATAAAAAGGAATTCGATTCTCGATTAACCTGGAAAATAAATCACAAAACATGTTCACATAACCTAAAATAAATTGTAAGGATGATCTAATGGGTAGTTACATAAGAAAGTGCGAAAAGATCTGTACAAGGTAATTATTTGGTTGAGTATATAGGTACTTAGTTAAAAAATGTTAGTGAGTGATAAATCGGAACATGTATAAAAGAAATTAAACCGTGAAGCATGAAGCATGATGAGAAACCTCAGAAAGTCTCGCTTATTAGTAACCGATATAATGCGTCGATACTTTCATTTAGAGCCATTATCTAATTGAATATATAAGTATTTCGTAGACAAAGTAGTTTAGGATTGATGAATCTGAAACCGCATCTCATGGTATTGCATGTTCACATAGAGCATAATAATAAATTACTCTGATATTGAGTAAACATGTTACGGACATTTTTTTAAGATGGACAGATAAAACGGTATAAACATCCCTTATCAACGAAAGTATACAATAGTTTGTTTTCAAGATTGTTAGATACATGAAGGTTAACTATTGTGAGTATTGTTTATAAGGGAAATTCACTAAGAACAAATATGTGTGTGTAATTCAAATAGTTTATTTTAGAGGTAAATTGACAAAATCTCGCGTGTCAACAAACTTGCTTTGAAAACTTTAAAGATATAAGGGTATTCGTCCATCGACACGATAACGCGTGTGCAAGAAGTAATTTGTATATTTTCTGAATCTAATATTGCGAGAAACAGCTAACACATGCAGTGCAAATGAAAATAAATCTTGCAAACACTGTTTTGATAATACACATTAGATTGTTCTTCGAGCACACGTCCTTATACTCTAGTGAACGTTGACATAACGATTTTCCGTTCACTCTGTTAGGAACTGTTCAGAACAAAATGACCGCTTCAAATAAAAAGTGTTCCCAGTAAATTGAAACGATATCCGCTTTACACTTTCGTCTTGTTATTTTCCTTTTTGACTTCAACGATGCAATTGAGCACGTATTTTTCAAACGAAATAAGCAACACGGAGAATGCCAATTAATCGTTAGTTTTTGAGAATTATTATTTTGGTTTGTTTTGTACTTTCTTTCTTTTTCCTTCTTTTTTTACCAAGGTGCTGTCTGGTTTTTTTTTATGAATAATTGTTTCTGGTCATCAAACGTTATAAAATCATTCATTGGAAAAGCCATTACAATTTTGTCAAGATGCAAGTTATAAGAAACTCAAATACCAATGTCAAACCATATCATGCAGTTATTGTATTAGTCTTTTGCCAAATTTAATTTCAATCATATTTCTGTAAGTAATTAGATACTTTGATTGATAAAAATAATAACTTTAACATAACGAAATACACTAATTTTAAAAATACAATGAAGTTAATCAATCTGAGTCTGATTCATGTGCATGCATGTAATATTGTGTCTGTGAAGTACATAATATCAAAGAAGTTCGCTTGACCTGCTTTGCCGCAAAATGCAATAAATATCTTGCTATCAAACTTAAAATATAAATCTATCTTTGATCGAGATATAAACCGTCAAAGATAGATTTTATATTTTGTTGCATTCTAATACTAAACACCAAAGTCTACTTTAAATTATAGTATTTCTTTTAACACCAGTGGGTCAACTGATGTTCAAATTATAGCCATATTTGTCAATTGGGCATACCATGGTACCGGATTGGTAGATGCATTCAGATGTTTAATGTCAAATCAAAATAAATATATACCATCGACAGATGTTATTCATAAGAATGAGTAACTGTGAAGAAACAACAAAAAGAGACAAATATGACAGACAGCCCAATATAATCTTTACATACGTTAAAAATAATATGACTATACATTAACAAAATAGCCAAACATACTTCATTTAAACTTGAAAAATTAATGTTTAAACCTACATGCATGTTAAACGGAATGGAAATCAGTAATTGCCTTTTTGTTAATATATGCATCCATCTTATGACAATTTGCCTATGGTGAAACAAACGAGAGGAACTAAAACACAACAATATTTTAGTGGTAACCTATTGCATATACATTCTGAGACCACTTTCGTAGATAGAATCCGGAAACAACCACAAGCCAAGTAACTTCCACACAAGCACGATATGTCGAATATTTAACTACTCAAGGTATTGCTTCAAGGTTTCAACAGAGTATATCTATATTAAAGTCTCTTCTTTTGACGTAAAGTCAAATATCAGCCGATCCGCACTGTTCTACATTTATGTCAATGTGTGAATCAGATTTGTTTGTTTGTATGACTATGTTTAGTAAATGTGGATAAAAACAGTGAACATTAAAGTCACCAAACTAATAATGACGAAAATATATCATGCATAGAGGAACGCGGGGATCTACGACCTTGTTATTGTTGACCAAAGCCCATAGAATAAGCATCAAGATTATTTGAGAATAAAACAAATTGAGGCGTCATACCAGTTAATTCCAATTGAAAAACAGACAATATATTGAAAAATCTCTCAATCCCTTCAAACAAAAAGCTCTAATAATCTATAAAATCAGCAATAGCAATTTCCTTTTCACCACTGATTTGATAGTGTAAGGTTTTATTTACAACTTTTTTCATTTTATGATACACATTGAACTGTTTCTTAAAAATATTGTAAACATAAATTGTGGTCAGGGCCTAAAAATGGTTGACAAACTGAGATCTACAGACATAATTTAACTTTATAAAAAATATGGTTGTTAACTGTAAAAAATTCCTACAAATATAACTTAAGCATTAAAACTCAACATTAAAAATTGCTAATTAATTCCAAGTCACTAGACCGATAAAATGCGACTTCATACAAAATATCATTGATTTTTTAATGTTTACCACAACATGCACAAGTAGATCCAATCAAACTAAC